GGGTAAACCTATGCAATTTTAACAACATACGTATATATACTGCACAGTAGGAATGCGCAGTATATACGGTACACGGTAGAAACGATAGAAATTTAGCCTATGATAGAGATCTGTCTTCTATCGGCTAACTGCAGTAATGCTGTGTCTGATGTAAAATCAGATTTGTCAGTTTAATCGTTACTTTTTTGAGTTGAAAACTGTGCGTAAGTGGTGTTAAAGTTTTTTCTTCGAGAACTAAGTAGCGAAGCTACAAGCTAATTACAGCTGGCTTGCCATAGTGTTGTCGTATTTGGACGCATACGCAAAACGCTGTGTTCCGTCAAAGTTTTTTTTTTTCGTTGAAAGTTAAAGTATGTGTTGGTCAGCTTTAGAAAAACCTGCTCTCTGATCTATGAAAAGAACGCTGTGTTGTGTGATTTTACTGCGAGACGATCTGGTCAAAGCCGCAGAGGAAACTGGTCTCCATTTTGAGTCAGATCCCTTAAAGCGGAAGGAGACGCCCACTAGAGGGTTGGAGGGATAAGTGTTTTCAGTGTTCACTTGCTGTTTTGTTGCTGTTCATTTCTTAAGTGAGAATACTAGAAACTGTTAAGAGTTAACAACATTTGCTTTTGTTAAAACATATGGCTAAAACTACATTTGATAACTTTTGCACTGTTTTGCACTACAAGAAAGAAGCCTAATACTTGATTTGTTCATTATTTAAAAACTCTCTGGACCTAGTAGTGGAATTTTCTTAATTGAAATTATTTTGTGGTTTAGCAGTTTTCAAAATAAATGATGGCAAAAGGATACCCTATGCTTTTTTTCATTCCTTTTGCACGTTTTATACAAAAACATATTGTGATATATTTCGTTATCGCCACCTTCGCAATACATATCATGATATGAATTTTATGCCATATCGCACATGCCTACTGTACAGTGCTGCAAAATTTGACTCACCGGCTCTGCAGAACTGCAGCTCCGTTCTGGTCGGGTTCAGTTCCGATTCTGCAGCGATGAAGCCCACCAATTGTTTGCGTGAATAATTGAGCTTCAGGAAGCTTCAGGATTATTTGAGACTTTCCTGCCAGTTCTGTGAGCTTAATAGATGGTTGCAAAACTTTCCCTCCATTTCAGCAAAAAGCAGCAACCGGAAACACTGTTGGCTTTTGGATAGTGTAGTTCTTTTTTGACTGGCGTTACAGTATAAGCTTATTGAAATAAAACTACAAAATAGCAGTGCCTGTCCGAAGTTTTCTTTTTCGTTAACTTTTAATCCCATACGTCACGTGAGTAATATTATAGTTGATAATCATTGAAAACCTGCGAAAGAGCGAGTCCGCGAAAGTCGAACCGCGAAGTAGCGAGGGACTATCGTTTCTATTTATATATTAAAACTTTGCCTAAACATCTGGTAATTCAAATTTAATGAGAAACTACTTCTGACTTGAGGTTTCTGTGTCGCGGAGCCGTACAACGTCAGAGCATGGAAGTCTTTCTTTGTTGACCTGAAGCTGCCCTACTCTGTGGCGAAGAACGAACAAATCGAGATCAAAGCTGTAATCCACAACTATGATTCCGATGACCTGCATGTAAGACAGTCTATATCTTTTTACATCCTTTTCCTCTGATAAAATGTTTCTCCAGTTTATGCTGATGCTCATCACCCTTTGGCTACTTTCCACTCAGGTGAGGGTGGTGCTGATGAAGACAGAAGGTGTGTGCAGTGTTGCCTTTAAAGAGAGACACACACAGGAAGTGACGTTGGCAGCCGGTTCCTCTATAGCGGTGCCTTATACCATTGTACCACTGGTGGTGGGGAAACTCCCACTGGAGGTAATGGTGGTTGCCCGAGACATGATGGGGAGTGACCGTGTCCAGAAGTTTCTGAGGGTGGTGGTAAGTCTGCAAGGTCTTCCAGAGATTCTGCTGCGAAAACAGATTAGCAATTAGTTAAATTTTTATTTCTGATGGTGAATTTACAAGATTATTCTCACTTGTGTTCAAATAAACTTGTATAATTTGTCTTTTCATGGCCCAAACAGCTGGACGGAGTGCAGAAGACTAAGGTTTGGAGTACGGTGTTGAATCCATCAGCTCAAGGAGGTATAATTACACAATTCTAATTCATTTTTGTGAACAGTGTAATATACCAGATTTGTGGGATTTCATGTTGAGAATGGGGTTTCTGTGGTCCGTTAAAGTGAAGCTACAAATAATATGCACCATTAAAAATGTTCTTTTATTATCCACTTTTTTTTGTTGTTTGTTTGTTTGAATTGCTTCAGGTTTTTGGTAATTTTTCATAATATTTGACCAGAAACAGACCTTTAATTAACAAAAATACCTACTGGTAATTACTGTAGGAACTCAGACGGTTCGGGTTGGCAAGGTTGAACTGGAGTCACTTGTTCCAAACTCTGTGCCAGAGACGTTCATCAATGTCCGAGGTGAGTCACAGATACAGCAGGGATAATAATTAAAGGACAAAACAAACACCTGATTTCTCTATTTCTTTCCAGGAAATGTACTGGCCGACAGCATTGATAACTCCATCAGTGAGGACTCCCTGGCATCTCTAATCCAGATGCCCGGTGGTTGTGTGGAGCAGAACTTGGCCACCATTACTCTGCCTCTTATTGCCACTCTTTACCTGGACCGGACCAACAAATGGGAGACTGTTGGGGTGGATCGCAGGGCCGAGGCTCTCCGATACATCAGGAGAGGTTAGGCAGCAGCTAAATGTATTTATTATTGAGAACCAGAATCAAAGGCAAAACATCTATAGCAAAATGTTTTATTATTTTGCATCTTGTCTTTGAATTAAATTTTGCCCATTACCATCAAGATCAGATTTTCATGTTAATGCCCATTTTTCTGTTTGTTAGCACAATATCTCATGAATCATTGGATGGATTTTGATGAAACTCTCAGACAGAATCATTGAGTCATCTCAATTCAAGATGGGCACCACCCCTAATTGACCTTAGAAAATACAAAACTACTATAACACAGTCAAATTTAAAGAAATTAAGATACAATTTGGTTCCAAAAAAGTTCAATCTGGTCCTCTGGACATTCAAAAAAACAAAAAACAAAACAAAGCAAAAAAATCTAGAAACGTTTCGTCTCTCATCCAAGAGACTTCCTCAGTCTGAGGTGCTGTTTTCAGCTCAGTCTCTTAAATAGCACCTTCACCAAGTGGATCAACCAGTTTGCTGCTGACAACCAAAACCAGCTGATCACATGCTCAAGAAGGACCATCAGCCTAACAATGGGTCATTAGCACACTGATGGCTGTTTACTACTCACAGAGGGCTGAGTGATACTAGCAATCACAGCATTGTAAGAGGGGGACAGTTGAACCCGGAGGCCTCCACCCCTGTTTAATGATGGACGATTTCTTTTCACAAAGATGGCCTCCTTTACTCCTCTCTCAAACCATCGTTCCTCTCTGTCCAGGATGTGAACATCTTCATCCCTGAAAGAGTGACCGCTGGCCTGGAGATGAGTGTAGACCGCAGAGTCCTGGCCTGATGATGTTGATCTTCTGTGCTGGGCCATCCTTTTGGCCAGTGGCTGTTTAGTTTCCCCGATGTAAGACTGATCACAGCCCTCCTGACACTGAACAACATACACAACATTACTCTGTTTGTGCCGGGGGACTGGATCTTTGGGATGAACCAGTTTTTGCCGTAATGTATTTTGGGGTTTAAAAGCCACTGGGACGTTATGTTTAGAAAATAAACGTCTCAGTTTCTCTGATACCCCCTCAACATACGGAATGACCACTGGTCTGGGTCTGGGTTCCTCCTTTTCACCTGATGGCTGACTGGAGTCCTGTTTGGGTTTCTTCTCTGCTTTCAGGAAGGCCCAGTTAGGATATCCACATTGCTCTAGAGCCTGTTTTGTGTAGGATTTCTCCTTCTGCCTGGCTCCCGAGCTAGTGGGGATGCTGTCTGCTCTGTGATACAGAGTCCTGATGACTCCTAACTTGTGCTCCAAAGGGTGATGGGAGTCAAACTGCAAACTGCAGTCAGGACTCTGTATCACTGATCAGTCTTACATCGGGGAAACTAAACAGCCACTGGCCAAAAGGATGGCCCAGCACAGAAGATCAACATCATCAGGCCAGGATTCTGCGGTCTACACTCATCTCCAGGCCAGCGGTCACTCTTTCAAGGATGAAGATGTTCACATCCTGGACAGAGAGGAACGATGGTTTGAGAGAGGAGTAAAGGAGGCCATCTTTGTGAAAAGAAATCGTCCATCATTAAACAGGGGTGGAGGCCTCCGGGTTCAACTGTCCCCCTCTTACAATGCTGTGATTGCTAGTATCACTCAGCCCTCTGTGAGTAGTAAACAGCCATCAGTGTGCTAATGACCCATTGTTAGGCTGATGGTCCTTCTTGAGCATGTGATCAGCTGGTTTTGGTTGTCAGCAGCAAACTGGTTGATCCACTCTGTGAAGGTGCTATTTAAGAGACTGAGCTGAAAACAGCACCTCAGACTGAGGAAGTCTCTTGGATGAGAGACGAAACGTTTCTAGATTTTTTTGCTTTGTTTTGTTTTTTGTTTTTTTGAATGTCCAGAGGACCAGATTGAACTTTTTTGGATTTTTCTACCTGGATTATTGAGCATGCATCAGGATATACAATTTGGTTCATTGGTAGTAGGGCATTAACAGAATACTCGAGTAATCTACACATCGATTGCTAGGACATCTATCGCGGTTAAAAATGTAACGTTGAGTAACCGTAGTGACGTCATATTATGTGACCACCGTATGACCGTAGGGGGCGGTGTTGCACTGTTGCAGGTCACAGAGTATGGTGTAACACTGGGTCCAATCCACCGAACCAGAAACAGTTTCCTCTGACCTTGTTTCACAAACACAAAGCAAAAAATATTAATCTCTAAACCTATAAAAAAATTATAAACATATTAATCTCTAAAACTAAACTTAATGTGCACCACAGCTGGCGGTGGTGCGGGGTGGTCAAACCCCCCACCCCCCCACGTTAAGTTTTGTTTTTGATGTGCTGCACGTTTCTTCACATTTGCAGTTTAATAATAATAACTAATAGTTTAGTTTTTCCTGTGACTTATTTGCAGTATGATAAATGGTAGGAGCATAATATACTATAATATACAACAATGTTTTGTTGGTCTTTTTTTTGTAAATGATTACCTTTTTTGCGGTTTTATTTATTTATTTATTTTTGTATTTTGAGATCTATGACGTCATCAAATACTCGAGTTCTACTCGGGTTTTATTATGTTAATGTCGAGTTTAAAAATTATATACTCGTTCAACCCCTAATTGGTAGCTGTCATTCCCAACACACCTCAAACTGCTATCAGATCATGTGATATTGCGCAATATTGTGTAATGACTTTTTTTTCCCATAATTTAACCAAATTGACTGTAACCCAGCCATTTTTTTATTTAGAGAGACATTTTTGTTTAAAATTTTGGAATAAATGGCAGCAGTGTTACACAATTTTTTTCCAAGAAATGCTGGACCTTTCATTTTTTATTCTTTTTCATTTTTAGGCTATGACAACCAGCTGGCATACAGAAGGAGTGATGGCTCTTACCCACCATACAGAAGTCAAGGCGCAAGTACTTGGTACTGTAAATTTATTTTTTTATAAATTACATTTTACATAAACATCTTGAAACTTGTAAGATTATTAAAAATATATATTTTTGGACAGGTTGCATTACTATCTTAGTATTTTGTGTTGTTATGGTGTGAATATATTTTTAACTAAAATCTGCAAGTTCTTTAAATCGTCACTTGAATTGTTACACTTGTGGGTAAGGAGCCGGAGCTTGTGTGTGAGGTTGAGTAGTACCAACTAGATATAGTTGGGCTCACCTCTATGCACAGCTTACAAGTTGGCTTGAATTAACTGGTGTGTTTAACTGGTGAAGTTGACTCTGAAACCCAACTTCTGGAGAGAACTATCCTACTCTGGTGTTGCCTAGGGAGAGAGGTGTCAGGCGGGTGTGGGGATACTCACAAGCCCCCAGCTGAATGCCTTGGCATTAAAGTTTTTCCTGGTGAACAAGAGGATTGCTTCTCTGTGGCTTAGGACTGCACAAAGGAAGGCTCCGATAGTTGTTTGAGCTTGTGCAACAAACATAATTTCAGATTACCCAGCCTTTCTGGAGTCTGGATGGTATCCTGGATGGGGTGCCATCTGGGGTTTCACTTGTTCTACTGGGTGACTTCAATGCCCATGTGGGAATTGACAGAGTCATAGAGTCGTTCATAAGTGTACTTGGTACCAGGCCACCTTAGGCCAAAAGTTGATGATCGATTTTGTAATTGTGCCATTGGACCTGTGGCCCTATGTCTTGGGCACACAAGTGAAGAGAGGGGCAGAGACGTCAACTGATCACCACCTGGTGGTGAGTTGGATTCGGTGGCGGGTAAGGCTGCCAGACAGCTGGGGCAACAACACCACCAGCCTGATCAAGAAAGCTCATCAGAGACTATACTTCCTCAGATGGCTGAGATGAGCTGGTCTGGGAAGCTCAGTCCTCCCCTCCTTCTACAGGTGTGCAGTGGAGAGCATCCTGTGCTCCAGCATCAACGTGTGGCATGGAGGCTGCACAGCTGCAGAAAGAAAAGCTTTGCAGAGAGTGGTGAAGGCTGTGCTGAAGTCTGTTGGAGTCGGTCTCCCCACCATCACAGACATCTACACCTCTAGATGCAGGAAGAGCGCCAACTGCATCATGAAGGACCCCACTCACCCAGCACACGCACTTTTTGCCCCACTCCCCTCAGGAAGGCGATTAAGGAGCATTAAGTGTAGAACCACTAGACTGAGTAACAGCTTCTACCCTCAAGCTGTTAGACTCATGAATATCTAACCACTGTGAAAAATCACATCATGTTGCTGTGTTCATGCGTGCTCATCTGCTCACACAGGCTCATGTTCGTGCTGCAGTTTGACCTAATATTTTTATGCTGTTAGTGCTTAGTGTATATTTAGTTGATGTTTTTTCTTGGTTCATGTCTTGGATCTCATTACTGTTTTTCTTTTACATTTTATTGTTGGATGTAACTGAGACCCTGTGTACATAATTTTGTTCCACCTCATGTACCACATGGGGTGCGAATGACAAATAAAAAAAACGTTAACCACTACTCGGCGTGATGATTATAACACTTTACATAAAAATCACTTTTACAGTTTAATTTGGTATCACGACTCAGTGACATTTTTGCACACATTAATTGGAAACAGCAACTCCAGCTACCTAAACAGCTCCTTAAACTTAAATGCAAAATGGATCAAACAGTTCAAGTTTGTTCAACCGCTCCCTTCTTCAGGGGTTGCCACGGCAATCAAACTTGCATACAAGACTTGTCATGTTGTCTTTCGCCAGTGGCTCTTCCTGACACAACCTGGGCTCAAACCCACAACCTCAGGGTTACTGGACCGCAGCACTGACCACCAAGCTACTGCAGCCCAGAATGTTCGAAATAACATAATCCTGGATACAAGTGTACGAAATGAGCTTCATTTGCAGGGTGGCTGGGATCACCCTTAGAGATGAGGTGAGGAGCTCCGTCATCCAGAGGGAGCTCGGAGTAGAGCCGCTGCTCCTCCACATTGAAAGGAGTCAGTGAGGTGGTTAAGGCATCTGATTAGGATGCCTCCCTTTAGAGGTTTTTCGGGCATGTCTCACTGGTTGAAGGCCTAGAAGTCACTAGAGGGATTGTATGTCTTCTCTGGCCAGGAAACACCTCAGGGTCCCCCCAGAACGAGCTGAAAAGAGTCACTGGGGAAAGGGATGTCTGGGTTTCTCTCCTGGACCTGTTACCTCCGCGACCAGACTAGGGATAAGTGGTGGAACGTAGAGATGGAGATTAAATTGTTACATAGGAGGCATCATTTTCATCCACATTCAAATGTCGGCTAACCTGAATTTAAATGCCTTTCAGGATCACAGCATATGTTGTGAAGGTGTTCTCCATGGCCTACACCCTTGTCGGCTTGGATGAGCAACAAATATGTGACCCTCTGCTCTACCTGGTGAACAACAAACTCCAGCCACATAAAGGATTTTACAAAGAGGACAATCCTGTTTACTCCACCACAATGACTGTGAGCCACTGACGCACACACGCATTTTAAAGTAAACCATGTTGCTCTGCTTGTTTACCATGCTGTTCTACTAAAAGTGCAAGCTATTTTTATTTGTCCTTTTTTGTATCCATTTTTTGTCAGCTTAAAAAAAAGTCATACTGAATAATTGCGAGAACTGTTTAAACTACATTTATATGAATCTTTTTTCTTGTGGATTAATAAGAACAGGCTCAAATAGGCATCAGTCTTTCATATTACAGAGTTGGAGTTAAATAAAACCTGGTGTGCAGAAGAAAATGTTTAAATATGCAGGTTATGCTCATAAAAAGTAAACCTCAAAAATAGTTCAAGGCCTAAAGGCATAATTTTTATACATTATACCTTTAACCACCCAATAACAAAGTAAAATGTATTTATATACAAGAAAAATCAAATGTTCTTGCTTTCAATTTATTATTTTTAAAGTTTATATCTGTTGCATTCATCCAGAGACCGAAATAAAAATGTTTCATCAGGCTTTGAAAATGAAGTGTATGGTAGTTTAAAAAAAAAATTCCAGTAGTTCTAGGATAATTTTATTTATTTAGATTAAAGAATGCGTGAAGAGGATGGATGAAGCAAGCCTTTGCTGTGACTTGTTGACGCAGCGATTCTCCGTTAAAAGCATTAACATTTTTTAAGCTTCTATTAAAGTTTTATTTTCTGTCTCTGTCTCCAGGGCGGTCTCCGTGGGGACGACCCAGAGATCACACTGACCGCCTTTGTCCACATCGCCTTTGCTGAGGCCAAAGAGACAAAGGTCGACTGCAGCACCTCAGGCGTGGATGTCAAGGTAAATCTACTTGCTCAAACAAGTATAGTTCATTAGGTACTTGCTTTTTACATATAATTTATTGATATTTGAAATCTGCACAGATATAAATTGTCTGGAGTATCTGAAGTGCTGTTAGTGGTATATTTTTTATTGTGTGAACATGATAAAGTAAAATAAATGTGCACACAATATTGTTCTAAGCCATAAACATAAATATCTTATTAATATAATATATGGTACTTGCCATTGTACACGTCGCACCGCAAGTTGCATCAGTCCTAAAATATCTAATAAAGTGGAAAAAAAAAACATAAATATGTTGCCGTATACGTTGCATCTATTATGCGTCATCGCTGACCACCAGAAACGTGGGCCGGTGTTGTGCCAAAAATTGATTGTCTGCCAAGTGGGGGCCGCGGAAGTGTGCACGGGAGGACTTTAACAAGAATTTAACAGGATTAACACTTAAAAACAATTATTTGTTTGCTCGACATTATAGCAAATGTGTATCTCAGTTGAACTTTTCCTTAATAAATGCACTATATTGGTCAAATCGGCTGCATTTCAGAAATCGATTTGCGGCTGCTGGAGTGCACAGAGGGAGGACTCGATGTGTATTTCTTCGAAATGTAACAAGATAACCACCAAAAATAATTATTTGTTTGCTCGACATTATAGTAAAGGTGTGTCTCAGTTGAACTTTGCCTTAATAAATGCACTTTAATGGTCAAATCAGCTGCATTTCACCTGAGCGGTGAGGCAAAATGCAGCTGATTTGACATTTACTCCAGGAGATCCTGAGCGAGGCAAAGGTGGATCACTGTGGCAAGCCAAGTGCCTCATTAATAGTCACTTTTACTTATTAATGAGACACTTGGCTTGCCATATTAGTTTAGGACCCTCTAGTGGCTGAGAATGGTAGTGTTCAATATTTTCCATGTCAGAATGAATGAAATCATCAGATCTCAGCCAAAAATTGTTTTATAAATATGGGAAAGAAACGCATATTAGTTATTTCCGTGTATAAGTCGCAGGACATGCAAATTTATGCAAAAAGGTGTGACCTATACGGTACATACATATTATCATTAATCAGGATTTTAGGCTCTGAACCTTGATGATTACAACTACTTTTTTTCCAAGTTGTATTTTATTTAAATCGTCAAACATCACTTGAATTGCTTGGGGTTATTACCTTTTAGATATAATGATACTAAAATTTATTTTATTTTTTCTTTATTTTTTAACTTGTTCACACATAAAAAAAACAAGACCAACAAATAAAATAATTTCCCTTAGGGATTAATAAAGTATTTTTGAATTGAATTGAATTGAATTGGTATTTTGGCTGTATTTTATTATTTGTTTGTATTTTTAATATTGTAAAGTGACCATATTGTTTGTTGTAGAGAGCGAGCCAGTGGACCTCACAGTTCTTAACAAAAGCTCTACTGATACAAGGCAGGAGACCGTATACTGTGGCCATCATCTCATATGCTTTGTCGTTGCTGGGAAAACCCGACAATCTCCATCAGTTTTTACTCCAAGCTGCATCTCCAGGTAACCGTTACATTTCAAGGTTCAAGGTTCTTTATTGTCATTCGCATCGCATGTGGTACATGAGGTGGAACTCAAGGTTCCAGTTACACCCAAAAATAGCAAAAACAAATAAAGTATGACAAAAAGAAACTGTATATTTGCTCTCTGAAGTTGTTTCACACAAGTTGTAGCAATCTCTTTGAAAACTCCACGTCTTTCATTTAAATATTATGTTTAAATAGTTGTTTTTTGTTGTCACAACTTTCTGAACAAATTGTTCAAATCTAACAATCTATCATTAGTTTTTATGCCTTTTTTAATTACAGTGTAAAAACTTTCTCATGCCTCTCCAGTGATTTTCTACTTTTTTTATTTTATTTTATTTTATTTTATTTACCAGTGTTAATGCATTAAGGCCCTTCTCTTACCTTACCCCACATTTAGACAAGAGCCACTGGCCTGACAGGGAAAATCCTTTATTTACATTGGAAGCGACTGGCTATGCTTTGTTGGCTCTGGTAAAGATGGGACTCATGGAAGAAGCTGCAGCTCCCTTCAAATGGCTGAACAGTCAGAGAAGAAGAGGTGGCGGTTTTGGTTCAACTCAGGTATCAACAAATTGTTGAGGTCTAGGACCTCAATGTTTGCTCTTAATTAATGTTTTTAATGGTAATAAGTGATGGTGGTCCCGTTTATCTGACAAGTAAGCACAAGAAAAATAAATATTTGTCCAAGTAAGTAAAATTCTGTTTCTTATTCTGTTTTTTTTTTTTTTTTTTGCAGTCTACTATGGTGGTGCTTCATGCTCTGTCTGAGTACATGATCAACAAACCACCTCCTGATGACCTCAGTCTGAACGTGGACATCAGGATGGCGGGACGCAAAGAAAACCGTTACTATTTTAACCCCGACACGGCCTACGCTGCTCGCTCCTCCAGGGTACGACTGTGCTGCATCTGAACGCACAACGTTAAAATGTTACAATCTGTTGTCATCACTGCGAGTATGGAGGACATTTAGGACTTGAGGGCACTAATTAAAATGTTATCCGTTTTTTCTGCTTCTTTTGTGCTTTTTCTGTTTAGATGCCTGCTAATACTAATTTGGAAGTGGTGGCTCAGGGGAACGGACAGGGAATACTGGAGGTAACAAATGTTTGTAACTTGGCGTCTTTTTGTCACATTTTTAAATTTAGTCAATTACACACGGACAACCCTGTAAATCCAGAGTTAAAATAATATGGTGAACTCCAGAAATGTTTTTATACATTTTACAAAAAAAATAGCAGTTTCATGTTAAGTTGTGCTTAAAATTTTAAAGCCTAATTCGATTTTTATCTTTTAATGTCTTTCACATTTTTGTCCCCGTTTCTGCTAAGGTTGTGACTCATTACAACCAGCTGCATGGGGTGGAGGACAAAGCTCCCTGCAAGGACTTTGAGCTCAGTGTCGATATTAACGAATCTAGCGGTAACTCAACACGCCAGTGTTGTTTAGTTGATTTTAGCATAATTAGCAGAAGTGCATTTAGGGTCACTTGTAAAATCTTAGCTTGGATAAATATACTCAACAAAGTTGTACTGGAAACTACTGAAGAGGATTGGCGACATGGTGTCAAAAACATTTTTTCCTCTTAATTCTGAGACAAAAAGTTAGAATTCTAACATTAATGTCATAATGTCATAATGTTCTAGAATTGCGCCGCTCAAGGTGGCTGCATGTTGGATCAGCTCTGTTACTTTCATTCTGAGATTTTGCTTTTGGAAACTTTAATTCCTGGTTTTCTGGATGTAAATCATATTTTTTGGATTATTGTTTCCTCTGGTATCAGTTGCTGTGCAGATGAAAGGATTTTTACTGAAACTTTTTAAGTTTTGGACATTTGTTATGATGCGTAACCATGGCAACAAGGCTGTTTTCTACAACAGCAGCAGCTGATTAGCATCTCAAAAGCTCAAATAATATCTCAACTATGGCCCCAACTCTCAAATGAGTTGAAAAGGATGTTCTTTGGATGCATTCTCATCTACCTGCCAGCTGTGCTCGAGTGCCTGACCACTGAGATCCTGGAACTAGCAGGAAACACGGCTCACGACAGCAGAAGGACAGGATTGTCCCTCAGCACCTACAGTTGGCTGTCCACAGCTATGAGGAGCTCGGCAGACTGCTGGGAGAAGTGGCCATCGCTCTGGGAGGAGTTCTGCCCAGCATTCAAGCGGTCCTACAGTCCAGGGGAACTGAGAGGTCAGCCGAGTCTAGGTGGACGGATCGGACGGTATCTGCAGCCAGTTTCTTAGGATCCACTGACGGATGGACCTTTACAAGAGATCCTTCCTGTCTACAGCCACCAGCATCTATAACATCTCTTAATGAAATGAGGATAACGAGTTACAACAACAAAATAATTTCCCTTTGGGATTAATAAAGTATTTTTGAATTGAATTGAATTGAATTAATTCGGAGATTAAAGTCAGAATTCTGAGAAAAAGTTAGAATTCTGAGATTAAAGTCAGAACCCATATATCTGACTTTTTCCTCAGAATTCTGACTTTAATCTCAGAATTCTGACTTTAATCTCAGAATTCTGACTTGTTTCTCAGAATTAAGGGGGAAAAAAATTGCACCGTGGCTCTTATTCTTTTCCGTAGAAAACAACAACTGAGATTAATGCAGCATAAATTTACCATTAGAAAGCTGTAAGAGATTAACATGTTGCTAAAAGCTTTACAGGTCTCTGTCTTGAACCATAACAAAGATAGCAATGCTGAGAATGCTGGGATATAGACATAATCTGGATTTAAAAAGCTTTATTTTGAAACAATTTAAGAAGAAAATACCAACAACAAAAAAAGCATAAAATTTGTATTTTAAGAAACATTTTCTATATTATCAACATAAAAAGATAATGAACATACCATTTCATAAATAAACAAAAAAAATTGTAGCATACTTTGAAGTTCTGCAGTAAATTAAAGTATTTCCTTGTTTCCGTCTCAGAAAAGCCTCCAGCAGATGTAGAAAAGTCGTACCAGATCACCATCAGAGTCAGGTGAGCTTTTCTTCTACTGTCTCGATAAAATGTATTTGCCCTCTTGGTTGTATATGCTTTTATTGCAGTCATAAATCAAACATGGTCAATTTAATCTACTTTCTGACTCCTTCACAGAGCGTTAGGACCCAGAGATGTCAGAATGGTGGTTCTTGATATCTCTCTTCCCACTGGCTTCACCCCAGAAAACTCAGACCTGGACACGGTAATGAGTTTCTGATAGTACTTCTTAAAAACAGCATGTTTACATGACCACATATTATCCAAGGAAAGGTCTAGTTTTTCTGTGCACAGAACATGTTCACTGCTACTACTACCGATACTACTCAAATTATTTTAAAGTTGTTATGCTTTCCTAGTTTATAGGGGTCATCTGTTTGTTTTTGACAAAATATGAAGAACTTTGATGATTACCGTTACTGTGGAGCTTGATTACACGTTTAGCCCACTAACAGCCTCTATACCTGTGTAGCTGTCCAGCTCAGTGGATCGTTATATCAGTAACTTCCACATGGCAGATAACCTGAGTGACAGAGGGTCCCTGATCATCCATCTGTTCAAGGTAAAATCGTCAGAAGACAGTCAGATTTACTGGAATGACTCAAGGTGCCGACCTTTGAATTTACTCTTTCGTGATAAAAGTTTCTACATTCTCGTATGACTTTTTCCACAAACCTTCTTCAAAATGCAGATCCTGTTGAGAATAAACTCGAAAGTATTTTTGTTTTAACTTCACATTGAAGAGCTCGGGGTTATTCAAACAATATAATGTTTAGGTTGTTTGCTTTGTTACACTAAAGGTTTTTCCTGTCACCTTCCTTCAGGTTTCTCACAAAGAGCCAGAGATCCTAGTTTTCAGGCTTCAGCAGAACTTTAAAGTTGGCCTCCTGCAGCCGTCCTCCGTTACTGTCTACGAGTATTACAATCCAGGTAGGACAACACAACCTGTTGCCACAATATATTCTCCTTGACAGAAATGAAATACCATGGGACAAGATATCAAAGTTCATACTCAATATTCCATGTAAAAAAATCCAACAAAGGTCAGTCAGGTCATTTGGACGGTTTATTTTTATTGTTGAGATGTTTCATCCTTCATCCAAAGGACTTCATCAGTCCGAGGAGCCACAACAAACTCAATCCCACAAGCAGCACACTTGCATAGCGGGCCACTTTGGCTATGGCTGCCTCAGAGGAGTCGACAGGGGAGAGGGCGGGCCCCAAAAACCATCTTATCACCAGCAAACTGGTTGTCCCACTATGGGAGTGTGCTGCTTGTGGGACTGAGTTTGTTGTGGCTCCTCGGACTGATGAAGTCTTTTAGATGAAGGTTGAAACGTCTCAACAAAAAAATGAAACCAACCAGATGACCTGACTGAAGTTTATTGGGCAAATGAGACAAGATTTATGGAGTTGACCCTGAACAACACAGTGATAATCCAGATTATGCACAGTTTAATTTCTTACACTGAAATTTTATCCTACAGCATTGATATGAAAACAGCCGATTTTACGTCCCCTCCGTGTATTTTCAGATCACCGCTGCAGTCGTACTTACTCTCCTAAAGAGGACAAAGAGGAACTCAGTCGGATCTGCAACAACGATGTCTGTCGCTGCACTCAGGGTAAAGACTCGATGTGCCTCTGTTAGAATCAGAACGCTTTTATTATCCTTGCACAGTGAAGTACAATGAAATTACTTTCCGTACAGCTGTCCTAAAGATGGACAGAAGTGTACAGGAGGTTACAGCTTCAAAAGATGGGCTGCCCCTGTTGCTTAGATAAGAAAAAGGGAAGAAACATAAGGAGAGAGGTATAAACAAAGATCTCTCACACCGTGTCCTTGACAGGGCACAGTTTGAGGCATCAAAAAAATCTACCACAGCAAAGCAACATAAATAGACGTAATACATATGTGTGTGGAGTGGGTAGGGGGTGGGGATCTCAGCACGGCCGCCAGGTGAGTGACACAGCCCTTGGCGCCTTCGCATCGCTGCGCCAGGGGGGGTGAGGGAGGCCAGTGGAGGCATTGAGTTTGAGGGAAGGTCAGCACAGTCCAGAGCCACCACCCCCCAGCCGTAGTCCTGGTAAGAGATGTTTGTTTATCAGCCAGCTCGGTTGAGCTCTGTCATAGGTCATAGAGCTCAGCTGTGGAAGGGAGGGGGTGGGGAGGGGTGGGACAGACTTTGTTTCCATAACATCCAAGGAAACGATTCAGAAGGGATGCAAAAAAAAAGGGGGCTCTGAAAAAAGTTCACAAGACAAAGAGCAAAGCAGGGACGGACGAGGTACAGAGCAGAGGAGGACGCGTCTGCCTTCCACCGAGAGCAAGCAAGCAAGCAAAAAAAAAAGTTAGCATTTATGTTACCTGATGTTTTATTCACTGTTTTCTTTGTGTCACTGTCCAGGCGACTGCTGCGTCTCAAAGGCTGAAAATGAAAACTTTGTCAATAAAGAGAGGGAGATGTTTGCCTGCAAGAGCTTGCACCATGGTATGGTACACACGTGTATTCTCAGTTTACATTTGACTTTGTAACACGTTTTATGATATCAGTAAACAGGCAATAGTAGAAATTAAACTACTGGTACTTGTTTTAATTCAATAGCGGTGGTGTTCCTGTTTGTCACTCTGTGCTTCAGTTTGGCAGGTGAAGGTGGTGAATGTCAGCCAGAGCTACTACGATAAATATGAGATGGAGATTACACAAGTTATTAAACTGGGTGAGTTTACAGCAGTGATGTTTCTCTGCCTAGCAGACACAAGCTCACAGATACTAAAATACTGACAGTATTAATTATTATTATTAGTATTTGTCAAACACGTCAGGTCATTTTCTAGAACATGCAAAAGTAACAAAATTATTTTATTTCTTTGTTTTTGTCTGAAAATAGTTTTTTTTTTTCATATTATTTTAACTTACATGGACATAACCCACAGCAGAGATTAATATACACATTAAACCCAAATTTTTAAAGGTTAAATGTTTTATACTTTTATATTTGTTTTAAAGAATAAACAATAAAGTCTATTTAAAACAGGATAAATAACCAAGAGAATCTTAGTTTTGCTTTATACATTTTCTTCACGAAGCGAGCAATAAAAATCAAAACAGGCAACAAAACAAATGTGTATAGATCATTTACAGTTTAGTTATTTGTTATCAAATACAAAATTATTTGTGGTTGTGATGGTTTTCTTTAACCTCCTAGAACCTGGCATCCATATATGCAAGAGTTCGGGTCTTAGGCGGTTAATTGACTTAATTTTTTATTTTTCTTTCAGGTGTGGAGGCTGGAGTTGAAGTCGGTCAGAAGAGGTTTTTCGTATCTCACGGTGGTTGCAGAGAAGGACTCGACATAAAGTTTGGGTCCCAGTACCTCATTATCAGTCCTAAAGAAGACCAGTGGGCCACTGATCCTGATACCACCAGGTGGGGAGAACATGGAGGATCCTTTTTGTAACATTGCTTTCTATTTCATTTGTTGCTTTCCCCTCTGGATTATAAAACAATGCTGGCTGGATTAAGTGTACTGACCTCGATCTTGCTGCATAACAGAGTTCATCAAATGGCGTAAACTCAGCATGTTACTTTGTTTCTCTGCTTCGTGTTTCAGATTTATCTATATGTTGGGGAAGGACACCTGGGTCGAGCGGTGGCCTTCAGCTGCAGAGTGTCCCAGCAGCCCAACCATGCAAGCTAAATGCAAGGCTCTTAACGATGCTGCAAATGAACTTTCTGTAAATGGCTGCGGTCTGTAGAAGCATCTGTAGAACCACATCACTTTCAGAGATAAATGTATTGCTTTGTCACAGTTAGTGCAATATGAAGTTTATTTTTAACAACAGAAAGTAAATTTCTTTAAAAGGAGAATCTTATGTTTTCTGATTACCGTGAAGTTTAATTATTGGTGTCTTTATATAACAGTTAAAGACCCAACAATTATATATAATTATAAACTCAGCTGCTTAATGTGTAATATTGGGTGAATTAAGTGACCGTAAATAGTGAGATTTAAAATCTGACACTTTCCTGGTAGGTTTAAATAAAGTTATCTGAACTTCTTTATTATAAATAAAAAGTCAATTTGTCTCCATTTAAATCTACTGGGATGACCGTGCTGTGAATGGCTGAGAGGCTTCACCAGTATAGTGCCGACAGTGGAACTTCAACTCTTAAAGGAGAATGTGGTGAAAATCAGACAATAGATACAATATAATGTAGATACAATAAACACATTGACAATAGACAATACACATATTGTATTGTCTATACAATACAATAGACAATAGAAAATAGAAAACAGATACGGACTGCTTTTTGCTTCAACACATTTGGTAGCACAACATAAAAGTAAAAATGACTAAATAATGAATGAGAATTGAATCAAGAACCTGAGAGAAACTGAGTCAAGTGAGTGCAAGAGCTGCTAAAACAAACCTGTCAAACTTCCTCTGATTAACCCTTTCATGCATCGTGGTTACGGTAGTGGACAGCTATTTTAAAAGCCATTTTCTTGTATATGTATGGGCATTTATGTTATTATTGCACACAGACCACTGAAGTGGACACTAGTGCATCATAAAATACACTGCCATCTGCTGTCCATCCCTTGCAAGTTCAGTTTTTTCTTCCTCAAATCCAAGATGGCTGACAACAGACAGAAAACCCTGTCAAGTTTTTATTTATTTATTTTTTTTTTTGAAACCCTGTCAAGTAGCTTGGCAATATCCTGTCAGTCCTACAGTAGAAGATTCTTGCAGCTAAAAAATATGGTAACATCAAGTAACATCTAAAGAATAGTAATATATTTTCCAAGTATTGACTTTATATTGGGATTTTGGGGGACCATCCAGACAAGAGTTCATCTGAACTTATTGACAGTGTAGATGGATCTTCAACAGGTCTCTGAGCCTCTGTTGTCTGGACCACACTGTACACTGTTGATGGATCCACGACTTCCTAAGCTTCAGTCCTGAAAGAGTGATTGTGAAGGATAACAGTACAAATTATGAAATGTTATATTTGTAAATATTTACATTTTATAAAAGACAACTTCGGCACTTTTTCCCCTGTTGTTCATCCAATTCTCAGTTTTTAAAAATGTTATTCTAAATATATACATTATTCGGTTTTAAATGAGTAAGATGTTCTGAGAGAACAAGGTCTTACCTCGGGCTATAATTGACCATAGAATACTCTACGCTCTCATTTTCCTCCTGCCCAAGTCTACAGGCTCCGTTGGATCTCGTGTTCATATAGAGACAATCATTTGGATTCCTCATCAATCGCACACTGGCATAGTGAAGGTCCTTCTGCTCCTCTGACTGATGGGGTTCACACTGCAGGGACAAATGCATTTCTAGATCATTAATGTCCTGACATTTCAACTGCAGAAACCATTGTTGGTAGAGATGAAATGTATGGCTCTTCAAAGGAAACCGTATCTTGATAATTCATTCATTTTCTGAATGTGTGGATCTGGTTTTAAAGTCTTTTAAAGTTCAGATACAGTCGTATTATTTCTGTTTCTGGTGTGCTTCAGGACTCATAAACATAAAAGCCACATAAACTTTTATGGTTACTTTATGAAAGTTGCAGGATCATTCAAGGATTCAATGATTCAAGGTTCTTTATTTGTTGTACACCACATGTGGTACATGTGGTGGAACGAAACTGTGTACACAGGGTCCCAGTTACATCCAACAAAAGTATTAAAATGTAAAAGAAAAGCAGTAATAAAACCTAAAATATGAACTAAGAAAAACATCAACTAAAAATATACTAAGCACTTGTAGCATAAAAACAATATGCTGAACAGCAGCACGAACATGAGTCTGTGTGAGCAGATGAGCATGAATGAACACAGCAACATGAAACAGATCAGCAGCAACATGATGTGATTTTTTTTCACAGTGGTTATCCTTGTTAGAGATTCATGAGTCCCCCGTGACCCAAAATGGAATGGAATGGGTAAAAGATAATGGATGGATGGACGTAGTCTAACAGCCTCAGGGTAGAAGCTGTTCCTCAGTCTAGTGATTCTAGACTTAATGGTCCTTAACCTCCTGCCTGAGGGGAGCGTGGCAAAAAGTGTGTGTGCTGGGTGAGTGGAGTCCTTCATGATGCAGATGGTCCTCTTCCTGCATTTAGTGGTGTAGATGTCTGTGATGGTGGGGAGGCTGACTCCAACAGACTTCTGTGTAGCCTTCACCACTCTCTGCCACCATCATTGTGCATCACCATGATGTTCAGTCTTAGAGTTAAATTTGGTGCATCTCATTTACCCTAGAGCTGGAGCATCTGGCTCACCAAAACAAATAAAAAGAGCTAACTCTTTCAGCTCTCCAACAGCATTCTAATAAAAGCTACGTCAAACTTACATGCACATCCAGGTTGTTTTTTTAATTATTATTTTATTTTAGAGGATCCTGATCATTGGACTCAGTTCACCAAAAATCAGCATTTTTTTAGTGAGCTGAGCTAAATGATTATAATTCAAGAAGAAACACCTTCCCATCACAGGCTGCAGGTATGCAAATTTTAATGAATGTTCTACAAAAATACACGTGTAATTTCATTGTTACTGTCAAAAAACATACCTAAGCTCAATATTGCATAACGGTGTCTTCCCAAGTAAACTTGGAATACCCTGATGCATGCTCAATAATCCATATCCTGATGCATGCTCAATAATCCATATCCACTTCTTCCTTTTTGGGTTGCGGGGGTCACTAGTGCCCATGTCCAGCCATCACAGTGCAAGAGGCAGGGGACACCCTGGACAGGTCTCCAGTCCATCACAGGGCCACAAAGAGACAAACAAGACAACCAACCATTCACACACTCAATCACACCTAGGGACAATTTAGAGTTACCAAACATGCATGTTCTTGGTCTGTGGGATGAAATCGGAGTATCTGAAGAAAACCCACACATGCACTGAGAGAACATGCAAACTCCACCCAGGAAGGCCCCCAGACCGGGATTTGAACCGGGGTAACCTGCTCGCTGAGAGGCAGCAGCTCTACCAACTGATCCAACGTGCTGCCCGCATGCTCAATAAATCCAGGTAGAAAAAAAATCTAATTAGTTTCAGTCAGGTCCTTTGGACGGATTCTTGTTTGTTGAAACGTTGTCTTTTATCCAAAAGACTTCATCGGTCTGAGGAGCTGCAACAAACTCAGTCTTTTAAGTTTTGCACTCGCATAGTGGGCCAACCAGTTTGATGGTGATAAGCTGGTTTCTGTTTTGCTGGCTTTATTACCTGAATTACTGAGTATGAGCTTGATGTTTTGAACCACTGGGAAAGGGTGGACTCCAGATATCACCATTAAACTGGTTGGCCCTCTGTGCGTGTGCTGCTTAAAAGACTGAGTGTGCTCCTCGGACTGATGAAGTCCTTTGGATGAACGACAAACAAACCATCCAGAGGACCTGACTTAACTTTTTTCGGGCTTGTAAAATAAACTGGGAATTATTTTACTTGTTACACACAATTGTCAAAAAAAAAAAAAAAATCCAAATACAGTATTCATTTTTAACAAAACTGTTGACGTGTTCGTCTTTTCCTGTACCTTGTCTGCACTAAATGAATGGTCCTAACAGAAGTCAGAACGGTTTTCATTCATCTGATGTTCCTCACCTGTTCACTGGTGTCAGGTCTTTTTCCATGTTCACTTGAAGGTCCTGAAGGTTTTCGCTTTCTATTTTGACAACAAAAAAAAAACACCTAGTTACCAAATTGGCAGCTAATATGGCTGAATAGCAAAGATTTGAAGTAAGAAAGACAAACTCACTTCATCAAAAAGAAAACAAGGACAAGTATGATGAGGATGATGAGAACCATAACTGATGTTCCAGTGACTACTGACTTCCATGCCGCTGGAAATGTGAAATCAAGATTAAACTGGATTAAAATGGGCCTTGTTCAGACTACTTGGCAAAAACACACTTTTCTGTGTTATTAGGTGCACGTAGCTCAAACCTCCACCTTTTGCTGTTGACAAATTGATGATTATCGCTGGCATTTAAAGCAAACTATCATTTTTCCATGACTTAAAATTCAAGTAATGGTTCCCAAACTTTTCAACTTCAGACCCACAAAGGAACTTGGAACCCTGCTACCTTAGGTTGAGGTATTCAAACACTGTTAATATGCCAAATAACCATGGTCATTATGGCAATAGCAACAATTAGACTGTTTTATTTTGTTTTATAATTACATTTTATCCCATCCATCCATCCATTATCTTTACCCGCTTATTCCATTTTGGGTCACGAGGGTCGCTGGTGCCCATGTCCAGCAATCACTGTGCGAGGGGCGGGGTACGCCCTGGACGGGTCGCAAGTCCATCACAGGGCACATTTTATCCCAAAAAAGCATAATTAAAATATATATTTTTTTAATTATTTGATTTTGTTTATAGGCATCTTCCCATTCAAATTTTATGGTGAACTTTAGCATCTGATGATGGACATGAAACTTTACCTTCCACAACAGCCACATGTACCGTGGAGTTTTTATGTCCCAATCTGTTGTGAACTTTACAGGAATAGTTTCCGCTGTGCTCATGTTTTATGTTGTTGATGGTGATGTTTTGTCCTGAAATCTTTGGCGATTTCTCTTCCTGCTTGTACCAGGTATATTCAGCTGCCGGGTTAGCATCACTGCTACAGGTCAGCGTCACTGAACTGCCCTCCATGATATTACCAGAAGGACTCATCAACACAAAGGGAAGATCTGGAGCATCTGCAAGAGAAGGAAAATTTGCTTACAGCATTATAGGGATATACATAAATCCTTAATTGTAGTAGCTGGGCAAACGTCAAATTTTAATTTTAGCAACAAGATTTTATGTTAAATAGTATGTATCCTTCATAAGATGACTATGAGAATGTTATAAGGTACAATACATTTTCTAATTGCAAATGAACAATAAAAAGTCTCACATTTAACATCAATCTTGACTTCATAAGAAGTTTTTTCTCCCCTGGAGTTGAAGGCTTTACAGACGTACAGTCCAGACTTGGATCGTTTGATTGAACTGAAGATGAGCTGTGTTTTGACACCAACAGGTCCAGGTTCACCTTGCTTGTACCATGTGTAATTAGCTGCTGGGTTAGCATCGCTGCTACAGGTCAGATTCAGAGGACTACCCTCAACAATATCACCAGAGAGACTCGCTGACACAGAGGCAAGTTTTGGAGCATCTGAGAAACAAAACAACAAAGACGGAATTATTAACATTAGCCTATACAGACATGATTTTTTTAAAATAATGATAACTTACAGAGAACATCCACAAACAGAGATGAAGAGTTGAGTTGTCCATAGCGATTTTCAGACATGCAAAGGTAGTTTCCTCTGTCTTCAGAGGTGATGAAGGGAAAATTAACATCTCTGGACCATGAAAGGAATTTATTGTCCTTGTACCAGGAGTAATAAGCTGCTGGGTTAGCATCACTGCTGCAGGTCAGATTCAGTGGTTTACCCTCTTCTACTGGACCAGAGGGACTCACTGACACGGAGGAGAACTTTGGACCATCTGCATTCATGAACACAGATTATTATGACTTAAATAGATCACTTGGACAAAATGTATGTTTAACTCATTTGTGTCACGAATACCAAAATATGAAAATAGCTTGATGAAGTTTCTAAACTGGTCTGAAGGAAAATCAAATAAATGAATCCTATTTGACCTTTGGATGCACTAAGAGCAGGATAAAACTGGACCAGGCAGAGAAAATGTCGACCATCGCTGTTGCAGCTCAGTAAGTCTAAGTATCGGTAACCTGACGTAAAACAAACGAACTCTGAGACCCAAAAATGTACTTTGTAGTACAAACTCACAACAACAACAGAATCTTACCTTTGAGAAAAATATTTGATCTAATAAAGTGTTTTTTTCAAGCTATTAGTTCAATTTGGGCAGCACGGTGGCGCAACTGGTAGAGCTGCTGCCTCTCAGCGAGCAGGTCCCTGATTCAAACCCCGGTCCAGGGGCCTTTCTGGGTGGAGTTTGCATGTTCTTTCTGTGCATGTGTGGGTTTTCTCCGGGTACTCTGGTTTCCTCCCACAGACCAAAAACATGCATGTTAGGCTGATTGGTAACTCTAAATTGTCCCTAGGTGTGAGTGAGAGGGTGAATGGTTGTTTGTCTCGTTTGTCTCTATGTGGCACTGTGAAGGACTTGCGACCCGTCCAGGGTGTACCCCGCCCTTAGCACAGTGATTGCTGGACATGGGCACCAGCAACCCCCGTGACCCAAAAATGGAATAAGCGGGTAAAGATAATGGATTGATGGATGGATAGTTCAATTTGTGAATGACAAAAAATGTTAAATCGTGTCATCTGGACCAGTTTCTTTAAGTGAGAAACATTTCGTATCCCCTGTCCGAAAGACTTTGTCAGTCTTCGGCCTGCCAACCAGATCTGTCCATAGGTAGCCTTCATTTCAACCTCCTGTTGGCTTGAAACATGCAAACAGGGCCCACCCGTCCAAAACAATCAACCATCATGTACAACAATCAAATGATTTAGGCCAGATGGCCAACTTGCTACTCACAGAGACAGCCGGAGGACAACCAAGGCCAAAATGGTTCAGAAAAAGGTTTGTAAGCTCAATCATCCAGGTAGATAACAACAAAAAAGTTAAATCATAACATCTGGAGCAGTTTCTTTAAATGAGAAACTTTTCATCCCCATCCGGAGGACAACCCTTCTTCTGAGCCACTTTGTCTTTGGTTGTCCTCAGGTTGTTTCTGTGAGTAGTAAGTTGGCCATCTGACCTAAAACATTTGATTGCTGTTAATGATGGCTGACATTCGAAGTCCTCTGGATGGGAGATGAAACATTTCTCACTTGAATAAACTGGTTCAGATTGCATGCTTTAACCTTTTTTGTTGTTATCTACCTGAATGGTTGAGCTTACAAAGTTTTATTTTTAATTTGTGAATGACTTCTTAATTTTTCCTCAAAGATCAAGCTGAGACTTCAGCAATACAATAAAGTATTATTTTAATTTTAAGAACTCTACCCTAAATAAAAAATAAAAAATCAACAAAGCAAAAATCAAAAGTCACACTTTAATTAATCATATCTTTTACTTATTTAACGTTGTAATGTGTTTATTTTACTCACATTTCACATTGATTTCTAAACTTGAAGAAATGCTGCTTCTGGGATACTTTGCTAGGCAGTAATACACTCCAGAGTCAGAGGGCTTGATGGAGCTGAAGACATGTTGTTGTTCTTTACTAAGTTGTTGAAAATCTTGGCTGCCATGTTTTTTGTACCAGGTGTATTTGGGGGGTGTTTGGTAAGTATTGCTCCTGCAGGTCAGAGTCACTGAGCTGTCCTCCAAGATCTCACCAAAGTGAGAAACAGACACAAAGAGACTAGTTGAAACATCTGGAGAAAACAAACAGAATTTAAATAGAAAATGCAATAAAATCACATGGTTTAGAACCCCCCCCCCCCCACACACACCTTTTAAAAGTAATAATCATATGTCGTCTCCCCTCCCCTGCAGAATGTCTGCGTCACTATGTGCTTATGTGCGGGGAGTTTTTTTCAATTTCAGGCTATCTTTACTCAGCCAAGGAATGAGAGTCTGTTAGGATTTTTTTCCCCTCCAACTCCTATACATGTTGTCATTTTCATTACGTTTTTGTCTGTCCAAACACTTGTAAATGAGTCTTCGAGGCACAATGTGATTTATCTGTATAAATAAAGGTTGAATGAAAAAAAAAATACTGATAATGAAAAAAATATAATTTGTACTTTGTTTATGAAAAGAAAGTCCAAGCCAAAACTGTTTTGGTCATTGTAAAATAATATATATTACGACATTTAATTCAGACTTTATTCTCTCATCGGACTGAAGGTGAACTTACACGCTGCGAGAGATGGAAACTTGGCGTATTCTTCCAAGGCACAGTAAAATGCATCTGCATTATCAAATTGCTGCAATATATGCCTTTTGTTTTCTTTTAATCGTTTTTTGTTCTTGAACCAGATGTAGGAAACAGAATCCGGCAGCTGACAGTCACTGTGACATGTTAGCTCAGTCCTGGGAGGATACTGATAGTCAGTTGATCTCCTCGCAATAACCTGCAGCTGTGGATCTAAAACAAACAAATTCATGTTGAATGTACCGAATACGAACAGATTTATTGTAGTGAGTGAATCATGTTGAAAAAGACATTCAGTACTGTTACCTGTTACAGACAACGTGACTCCTGGTAAACCAGTATATTTTCCATAGTTTGTTGTGAACCTGAACTTGTACTCAGCTGAGTCACTTTCCCTCAGATCAGTAATAGAAAGCTGACAAACGTGGTTCACACAGTGATACTGCACGCGGTTTGAAAAAGTTGGATCAGTTTTCAAATCCACATACATGTAATTAGTTTGTTTTATAAACCAGAATGTTTCTCCAACTTCTGTATTTTTGCCATTTATTTGGAGCGGGTATTCATAAGAGCAGTTTATTGTTACTGCGGATCCTTTTAAAGCACAGATCTGAAGAGGACCGCAAGTCACCCCCCAGCCATTCCCACCATGCACAGCTGCAAGATTGAGCACAATTAGAAGAACAATACTTATGGTATATGATAACATGTAAAGCCTGAGCATTTCCGGAAAAAAAGTAAATAATTAAATGTACAAGTAAATAAATAATTAAAACCTGGAGATATATTTGAGTCAATCATTTATACGTATCTCTATGAGCAACTATAAAAGCATAAACCGTTTTGAAAGCACAAAATATTTAGAAAAAAATCTTAAGCTATTAAATTTTCATCATTGCATTTCTGCATATTAATAGGCAAAACAAAGCAAATAAAAACTACTTAACACCCTTGCTCACAAAAAAAAGAAAGCTTTTAAAATTGGTTTAAAACCAGTAATTAGCCGTTCAGGAAAAAAGTTTTAGAAAAACGTGCTGAACGTGAATAAATTTGTCCCGTGGTTATAAAACAAGTATTAACATTTCTAAGCTGTTGGTAGTTAAAAAGGATTGAATTTATATATGTCTTTTAAAATATAAACGTCAAGATTATGACGTTACTCATCACTTTATTGGCCGTGAAATTGCCTCACCGCATCCAAAATCATATGAGCTAAAGCACATGATACAATTCAAAAACTTTTTTCCTGAAAAAATAAAATAAAAATATTAAAAGGATTTTTTAAAATCTTGTTTAAGTATAAACACTACGACATAAGAAGATGTACATTACCTGACACAGTGAGAAGGAGAAAAACCACTCTGTTTACTTCAGTAAAACTCATAGCTGCTTTTTTATTCTCTTTGAGGAAAAGTAATATTTGTGTGCGAGCAATTCTTTTACAGTTCAAAGTCAGAACTGTACTGCTGGGAAGACAGAAGTTGTCTCTATGCAAAACTTACTTTCCCCATCAAGTTGTTAAAAATACACCCAACTTCCTTCCCTTTTTGCTCATCTGCATGCATGATCAGTCAAAACTCAGAAAAATAAAAGCAAATCAACAAATTGCTCAAATTAAACTGCTTACACAGCAGAAATTTATCTATAAATAATACAATTTGTGGCGGCACGGTGAATCAGTAGGTAGAGCTGTTGCCTCTCAGTGAGCAGGTAGCCCTGGTTCAAATCCCAGCCCCGGACCTTTCTGGGTGGAGTTTGCATGTTCTCTCCGTGCATGCATGGGTTTCCCCCGGGTACTCCAGTTTTCTCCCACAGACCAAAAACAAGTCTGTTAAGCTGATTGGTAACTCTAAATTGTCCCTAGGTTTGAATGAGAGAGTGAATGGTTGTTTGTCTCGTTTGTCTCTATGTGTCCCTTTGATGGACTGGAGACCTGTCCAGGGTGTCCCCTGCTTCTCGCACAGTGATACATGGGCACCAATGACCCCCTGCGACCTGAAAAGGAAGCAGGTAAAGATGATGGATGGATTATACAGATTTTTTTGTTATATAAAAAAAAAATGTGCCCAATAATATTTTAAAAATTGTGAAATTACCAAAATAATAGATTATCTACAGACAGGAAAAAAACAACAACAACAAAACAGGCCTGACTTTAACTCAGAGGAACAGAACAAAACTCCAACAACAATACAAGAGGATTTTTTTTCTAGGATTTAATCATACAACAGCTGCTGGGTAAATCTGAGCAAAAACCAATAATGACTGTATCTGCAGGCAGGAATGGAGCTTAACCTGAGAAGAACCGAGAAGAAGAAAGCTGAGTGGAATTGCAGGTATGGCAAAGTGGCCAAGGCGGTCCCTTAAACCGGACTGAGTGGGGGTGGGTGCCTGCAGTGGACTTAACTGGGGGCGTATTGTGCGGAGCCGATGAGAGTTGAGACAGTAGAACCATTAGAGTCTCTGGTGAGGGAGTTTGTCTTTACATAATTTAGTTTTGTCCTACCTGAAGATCTCTGAGGGAAGTGAAAGGCCAGACAGACTTCTCCTTAAGAGGTATGCAAAACAGGTGATCACATGAACATATTTGAAATAGGAAATTAGATTAGGAATCCAAAGAACACATGCAGCCCCACCTATTTAAAAACACCCACATGCCCCCCCCACACACACACACATATATGTATATATACATGCAGCCCCACCTATTTAAAAACACCCACACACCCATATATATATATACAGTATATCATTCACACAACCTAATTTTACTTAAAAAAAAAAAAGTAAATAACGTAATAACTTAGCTTGTGAATAACATTTGGTGATCCATCCTCAATTTTATACTTATCTGCAGTTATGGTGCCAAACAGAGCTTCAGGAGTTTAGTGTCCCTCACCCCAAGACCCCACCATGGAGTCAGGCCTGTGGGTGGGGCTCATCAGTGAGCACCTGCCTATACCCTTACTTAGGAGGCCCTTTGATGGATTTGCAACCGATCCTAGATGTCCCCCACTTTCTCTGCACAACTGATGGGGATTTGCACTCGCAATCCCTGTGATCCAAGCAAGGCGGGATTAACCATATGGGCAACTGGGCAACTGCCCAGGGGCCCACGATCTCTAAGGGGCCCAGGGCAGTGAGGGCACAAGCAAAATATCTGGTTATCTCCTGCTTTACTTGGAGCCCTGCGCTGCACAGAAACTGCTGCGCTTCCGCTGCATTTGGGCAGTCCCTCCTCCTCCCAGCTGCTGCAGCTGTTTTTTTGTTTTTTTTTTCAATCGGATCCTCGACTGTGCGACCTGTCAATCAACTCAGAAGGCGTGTCAGTAACTGACCAATCGACAACCTCAATTTGTCCCGAAGGTAAACGCCCCTTACCTGCTGACAAACTCATCAGTTTTTTTTTTCTTGAGAAACATCGTTTTAATGAAAACAACAAGTTTGTATCAGTTGTGAGATGATTTTAGCAGTTTTGTAGTTTTTTAATTTACTTAATGAAGAATAGTATGACTTAAAATCATTCATCAAACAGGAAGGAGGACTTATTATCCCTCCTCTTACAGTGAATGTGGTACTTTGTTAGAAGTACAACTATATTTATGGCATCAGAGAAAGCTGAGCTTCAGTTATCCACAAAAAGTAAAATGGCATCAGCATGAAAAGAAGGAATGTTAAGTTTGAGATTAATCCAGTTTCTGATGTCTGACCAACCACTTTGTATTGACATGAAAAAATAAATTCTTGAGGGATTCATCTTCTGATTGACAACAGGCACACAAATTAACCTCAAATTTAAATCTTCTTTGCAGAAACATGGCTACAGGATATATCTTATTTATTATTTTAAAATGATTCTCCTTCACTTTAGGAGATTTAGGCCATTTGACAAATTTAGAAGGAGCAGAAGTCATTATGGTTTTACGATTTATGTTGGGAGGTTTCTTGAAGGAATCTTTGTTATAATCAGTAAATCTTTTGTTGCAAACATTCATTGATAATCTAATTACATTTGAAGTCAACTACAACCAGATTCCAAAAAAGTTGGGACACTAAACAAATTGTGAATAAAAACTGAATGCAATGATGTGGAGGTGCCAACATCTAATATTTTATTCAGAATAGAACACAAATCACAGATCAAAAGTTTAAACTGAGAGAATGTATCATTTTAAAGGAAAAATCTGTCGTTTCAAAATTTCATGGCATCAACAAATCCCAAAAAAGTTGGGACAAGTCCATTTTTACCACTGTGTGGCATCCCCCCTTCTTCTTACAACACTCAACAGACGTCTGGGGACAGAGGAGACCAGTTTCTCAAGTTTAGAAATAGGAATGCTCTCCCATTCATGTCTAATACAGGCCTCTAACTGTTCAATCGTCTTGGGCCTTCTTTGTCGCACCTTCCTCTTTATGATGCGCCAAATGTTCTCTATAGGTGAAAGATCTGGACTGCAGGCTGGCCGTTTCAGTACCTGGATCCTTCTCCTACGTAGCCATGATGTTGTGATTGCTGCAGAATGTGGTCTGGCATTATCGTGTTGAAAAATGCTGGATCTTCCCTGAAAGAGATGACGTCTAGATGGGAGCATATGTTGTTCTAGAACCTGAACATAGTTCTCTGCATTAATGGTGCCTTTCCAGACATGCAAGCTGCCCATGCCACAAGCGCTCATGCAACCCCATATCATCAGTGATGCAGGCTTCTGAACGGAGCGTTGATAACAACTTGGGCTATCCTTGTCCTCTCTGGTCCGGATGACATGGCGTCCCAGTGTTCCATAAAGAACTTCAAATCGTGACTCATCTGACCACAGAACAGTCTTCCATTTTGCCACACTCCAATTTAAATGACCCCTGACACAGTGCAAACGTCTGAACTTGTGGAGCTTACTTAGAAATGACTTCCTCTTTGCACTGTAGAGTTTCAGCTGGCAACGGCGGATGGCACGGTGGATTGTGTTCACTGACAATGCTTTCTGGAAGTATTCCTGAGCCCATTCTGTTATTTTCTTGACAGTGGCATTCATGTTTGAGGTGCAGTGACGTTTAGGGGCCCGGAGATCACACGCATCCAGTAGAGTTTTACGGCCTTGACCCTTACGCACAGCTATTTTTCCAGATTCTCTGAATCTTTTGATGATGTTATGCACGTTATGGGTAACACCATTCTGGTATTGTTGCACTATCTTTCTGCGCAACAATGGTGGAATTGGTGATCCTCTTACCATCTTGGATTCTGAGAGACACTGACACTCTGAGAAGCTCTTTTTATACCCAATCATGTTGTCAATTGACCTAATTAGTGTTAATTGGTCTTCCAGCTGTTCGTTATATGCTCAATTTCCCTTTTCCAGCCACTTATTGCTACTTGTCCCAACTTTTTTGGGGATTTGTTGACACTGTGAAATTTTGAGTCAACATATTTTTCCTTTAAAATGTTACATTTACTCAGATTAAACTTTTGATCTGTCATCTATGCTATATTACGAATAAAATATTGACATTTGCCATCTCCACATTGTTGCATTCAGTTTTTATTCACAATTTGTTTAGTGTCCCAACTTTTTTGGAATCCGGTTTGTAAGTTACAGGCATTTAGTTTTAATTTGGGCATCAAATCGTCACCTTTGAATATATTTTTAATTCATTGAATCAGCTGTTGGTCAGGCTACTTCTTGTTGTTCCATTAGCTCTAAAATAGTTACTGAATCAAGTGTTTACTTCCATCCATCCATAGGGGTAGCAGCCTAAGTGGGGAGGCCCAGACTTCCCTCTCCCCAGCCACTTGGACCAGCTCCTCCAGGGGAATCCCAAGGTGTTCCAAGTGTTTACTTATGTAGGTAAAACTAGATGTTAAACAACCATTAAAATACAGCAGAATGCAGGAAATGTTAATTCATCTACTTTATTCAAAATTTTCTGGGGGAGGACCCCCAGACCCCCCCCCATCAGTGTGT